ACACTGGAACTTCAACGCACAGGAAAAATTATTTTGATAAAAATAATAAACATAACATTTACGTCATCGATTCATAAATATTTTTTCAATGTATTCCATTATACTACTCACAAGTAGGCGACAACAAATATACGAAGAAATATTACCATTTTTAACTGACAGAGAAAAGTAGAAACATGGATGAAGGCGATAAAATACATAAAAATTATAATAATAATAATTCATAGTTTCAGTAGTAACAATAATAACAACAATAATAATAAAGTCAATAAACGCACAGTTCACTTTATATGCAAAAATTTATGTTGTTAGTAAGTAAGCTAGTGGAAGTATGATTGTCTTCGACAAGGGTGTTGGTCTTCTTTACTTCCTTCCTGCCTTTCTGCCGGGGATTAATTTTTCCTATGCCGTCTTAATATTTTTATAAATATCTAAGCCAGTCATTGACTGTATCAGCTGTGGTAGACTATTCATAATTGTGAATAATTCCCCGGTTAACTTGGCTACACCAATTTCTCCATCGCCCGTGGACACCATTGTCACTTTATCACACTTAGTCAGTGGTGCACTAATTTCAGCAGCAATTTTTGGTAATGATTGTAAGACCATGTCTAATTTGGCAACATTCTACAAAGGAAAGTGAGAGAGAGAGAGAGAAAAGGTTAAAAAAGTGGATAATTTCAAAGATAAAAGTAGAAAATTCTAATTTTCCTGTCGATTGATTCAACCAAAGTGCTCGATCTTAGGTTGATATGTTTGTCGGCTCCTTGTGCGCGGATGCTTCAACGATGCCTAGTCATGTAACTTGTAGTCAATTGGTGGATAGTGAATAACAGTGGGATCCAGGATCACACGCATTTCGTCCTAATGGGGACTCGTCAGTCGGGTGTACTTGCACCTAAGACCGAGCACTTCAGTCCTATCAATCGACAGGAAAATTTAAAATTCAATTGCGTAATTATTAAAACCCATTGCACTAGAGGTGGCTGTCGTGACCCAAGTGGATAACGTTTTGGAGTTCGAAACTATGGGCGCGGGGTCCGGAGCCTCAGTGGGAATACCATCACTAAATGGGGAATGCTGGTACATAGGACGAAATGCACGTGATCCTGGATTCTACTGCTAGTCACCACCGAATAATCAGAAAAAGGGTTGGTTGTTTTATAGTGGCTGACATCAGTGGGATTCATGATGACACAAGCCAGTTCGTCCAATTTCAGGACTCATCAGTTTGACCTACCTGGAACACACTGAGTGATGGTATTTTCTCATTAAGACTTGGAGAACACAAAGCTCTGTATCGCTGAACAAGTCTACAGGACATCAATCTTCAGCTGTTTGACTGTAGCACTGAGTGGTGGTGATGTCGATTCGAATCTCAAAGGAGGCGTCAGTTCCTATGCCTGGTTGCTGATGCGCCATAATAGTGAGTGCTAACATGCACAAAACATAGGTCCAGGGCATTTTACTGACTGCTTTCAATCAACCACCCGATTAATACAAACACTAAATTCTATTGGAAATCTTGTATATTGGGGATGATAATGACTGACTCGTTTCAACATAGGAACTTGCACAGATATACAACAGTTCAACTTGTCACTCTCCCTCCATGTACAACACAAGGCAATACAAGAGACTAAAGAGAGATAATAAACAGAAGTATGAGTGAGGGAAAAAGAATAGTAATGGAAGAACAATAGTGTTATTGGATATGACAAGTCATCAGAAAGAGTGTATGCATCTGTGCCAGCCATCACTGAGAACGAAGATTTCGGGTCATATGATCAATTGTCTCCAGCCTTCATTCGTTCTTACAATCCCGACCAGCCAAGAAGTCTACATCTTCCTACGTGACTGGCTGGTTCAAACTAACTGTTGTGGATTTCATTGACTGATGAAGCCATATTTTGATTTGGCCACAATTAGTAGCTCTTTTCCAATATAATGATCACCGGTTCCTAATAAAGCTAATTGACGTCTATTAAGTAGCTATCAATGAGTTGAAGGTTGATATATTTAGATAATTGAGTTTTATACGGATTCGGATTCATTTAGAAAAGTCATTGAAAACCAGGCGTAACTGGACAGCTTGACCTCTCAGGTTCAATTCCTGATCGGGTCGTGATTGTGCGTTGGCTGATGCAACTTCCCAAATAATTGAAGTGATGGTTAACACGCCTCGCCAACCACTTCACTCCCTATTTCTAAGCTAGGAGTCAGTGTAGTCCAGTCCTGCAGCGTCATCATCTTGCATTTGGCAGGAGCGAATCGCATGCCAAGCATTCGTAGATTGTAGCCCCAGATGTTCAGAAGATTCTTCATTTTGTCGGCGTCTTCACCTGGCAGGCAGGACTGTATCACCTGCTTCATCAGTATGATTACGAATTGTGCTTGAAACATCATCCAGTTATTCAAAACTGTGTCATCACTTTGTGTTTGTTTGTGTGTCTGTTTTCGACATAGAACTTTGCACTGATGTGCGGCAGTTCAAGTTACCACACTCCCTCCATGTAGCACACAAAGGAAGAGAAGAAAGTAGAAGAAATGCATAATAGAGACAGTAAACACAGATTTGAGACAAGAAGAATAGTAATATTGAAGAACAATATAGATTCATTGGAAACTATAAGTCACAAGGAGTGGATGCATCTGCGCTATTCATTGAGAACGATTTTGAGCCATATCATCAATTGTCTCCAACCAATGCTTTCTACTGTCCCGAGGACCCCAACCAGTCAGGAAGTCTACACCTCCCTACGTGACTGGCTGAAACTAACTGTTGTAGATTTCATTGACTGATCAAGCCACGTTGGTTTTGGTTTTACCACCGCTGGCTCTTTTTCAACCTCATCGACCTTATGTCAACTAACATTCCTCGTCCGTCAAGGAAGGCAATTGATAGGCATGAATGCGTAACACATGTCCTAACCATCTCAATCGATGTAACTTCACGGTTTTGTCTATTGATTTCCCCTCCCTCCTTACCTACCACTCAACCAAAGCCTAACCTCAATATTGCTCACCTTATTATACCACTTCACACGGGAGATAGAACGCAGGTACCTATGATCAAAGACAGCTAGCCGGCTATGTATCTCATGTCTTCTACTCTCAATGGCCAGGTCTCACTCAGAGCCAGCCGTGAAGCAGGATGTAGCGGACTGCTGAGCAGTACACCTACCCTTTGGTCGAAAGCCAGCCGGATATCACGTCTACTAAGCCAGAGACGGCGTAAACTGGCATATGCGAAACGAGTCTTCTGTAACCATGCTGAGATTTCGTCAGTTAACCAGGCTATGTCCTGGTAACAATTCAATCCCTATGTCGTTGAATTCAGTTCGCCGTTGATTCCATTTTTCTTTACATCTATGATGAAATTAAACATTAAAGAGCATGGTAGACAGCCTTGATGGACTAAAATTCCATAAGAAGTAAATACCCTTACCACTATTACCACCTATAATAAAATAATTAAATAATAATAATAATAATAACCGATCTGATTAGCGTAGAGTGTAAGTATCAAGTGAACTTTTGTTCAAAAAATACCAAACTAAAAAAACAAAACACAAAACAACACAAAACAATTCTACCAATTCATCTAATGTACTATTTATTGATTTTCTCCGTTTATAGTACACAAACTATCTATTAACTAATAAGTTTAAAAGACATCCACATTTATTGAACGTGACCTCAAAGATTAAATAAAACAATTCTATAAAAATCAATAATCATTTATGATAGACTAATAATTAAATAAACAATTTGATGATATTAGATAGTTGAAGGCAATCGGCCACAGGAAGCACAGCCTTGGACCTAGATTTCGTGCTTATTGTTGGAACTCACCAGTCCGTCAGTCAGTCAGTAAGGCGTATCTGAAACCTTGAAGGAACAACTCATGTCCCTCCTCCTGAAATTCGAGCCCGCGTCACTCAGTGCAGTCCTGCAGTCAGAGGCATTATCACTGAGCTATTCGGACTGGCTAGCGATTGACCTCCTGAATAAACAATTATTGAACATCTAAAGTACTTTTTTCTAAACATCAATAAATAAATTCGATTATTAGATAAAGTTTGTTTGATACAACATACACGAACACACGGGGGGACACACACACAATCAAACACAGAGTGATGACACAGTATTCAATAACTGGATAATGTTTCGAGCACAATTTGTAATCACACTGACAAAGCATGTGATATAGTCCTCCTTCCTAGGTGAAGACGCTGACAAAGCATAACAGAGTCTTATGAACACCTTGAGCTGCAATCTACGCATGTTTGGTATGCGATTCACTACCGCCAAATGTAAATGATGACGCTACAGGACTGGACTACACTGACTCCCAGCTTAGAAATAGGGAGTGAAGTGGTTTGAGGAGTGCATTGACCACTTCACTTATTTGGGAAGTTGCATCAGCTAGTGCCAACGGGTTGATCTCTGACGAAATCTCTGCACGGAGAGAGAAAGCTAGTTTCGCATATGCCAGTTTACGACGTCTCTGGTTTAGTACACGTGATATCCGGCTGGCTATCGACTGAAGGACATGTGTACCTCTCAGCAATCCGCTCCGTCCTCCTTTATGGCTGTGAGTGAGACTTGGCCATTGAGAGTGGAAGACACGAAAAGCCTTGCTGGCTAGCTGTGTTTGATCATAGGTACCTGCGTTCTATCTCCCGTGTTATGTGGTCGTATAATAGGGTGAGCAATATTAAGGTTAGGCTTCGGTCGATTGCTAGGTAAAGAGGGGAAATCAGTAGACAAAGCTGTGAAGTTACATCGATTGAGATGGTTAGGACATGTGTTACACATGCATGGCCTAGCCATCACCTTCCTCGACCGATGGGGAATGTTAGCTGACATAGGATCAATGAGGTTGGAGAAGGGTTACTACTGGTAGTCAAATCAAAACATGGCTTCATCAGTCAATGAAATCCACAACAGATAGTTTATGCCAGCCAGTCACTTAGGAAGGTGTAGGCCTCTTGGCTAGTTGTGGTTTTTAGGATAGTAAGAACCAATGAATGCTGGAGGCAAACAATTGATGATACGACTCAAAATCATCGTTCTCAATGAATAGCGTAGATGCATCCACTCATTGTAACTTATAATACTCAATAAATCTATATTGTTCTTCGATATTACTATTCCTTTTGTCTCATATCCGTGTTTACTGTCTCTATTTTACGTTTCTTTTTACTTTCTTCTTTGGTTTTGTGTGATACATGGAGGGAGTGTGGCGACTCGAACTGCTGCGCATCGGCGCAAAGTTCTGTGTTGAAAACAGACAGACAGACCATTATGGAGTACATCGTTCGCACTGTACTGTAGGTGTGAGAAGAAAATCATACTTTTGGCGAAAAGAAGCAGAAGGTGTTTCTCCCCCGGACAACTAGTAAACCAGCTATACTAATTTGTCTATTTTAGAGGCGTAGGGTTAAGTCGACCGCAAAAATTATAAAATCCTAACGTACCGTGCAGTGGTCTGTAGAAGGCGGTAGGGGCTCTGCACATATATATGTAACAGACAGGCGTTAGGCATTTATCCCCAGGGCCCTGACGTCATTCTTAATACTAATGATTCTTCTGTTCCAGATGTTTCAGGAAAAATGAATTTCCACGATATGAGTAACAGGGAATTTGTACAAGCATACATAGCTTTGACTGGACACTAGTAACTAGTGTGATGTGTCTGGCTAGTCATTTCTTTGGTGCAGACTGAATTCTATCAGTCAGGTATTTGCAATGTGACTACCATTCTAGGTAGCTCGCCATCATGGTGCACATTGATTTGATGATACTAATTAGATGGTTGGAGGCAATCGGCCAAAGGAAGCCTTGGTCGGCCTAGGTTTCGTGCTTATTGTTGGAACTCACCAGTCAGTCAGTCAGTCAGCAAGGAGTATCTGAAACCTTGAAAGAACAACTCATGTCCCTCCTCCTGAGATTCGAACCCGCGTTACCCAGTGCAGTACTGCAGTCAGAGACGTCACCACTGAGCTATTCGGGCTGGCTCGCGGCTGACCTCCTGTAAGACTGTAGTGGATACTTTGATTGGACACTAGTAACTAGTGTAAAGTGTCTGGTTCTTTCTTTGGTGCAGCTCAGTGATAACGTCTTTGACTGCAGCACTGCACTCGGTGACGCCAGTTCGAATCTCAGGCGGAGGGACATGAGTTGTTCCTTTAAGGTTGCAGATACACACCTTGCTGACTGAATGGGGAGTGCCAACGAGCACGAAACCTAAGTCAGGTAGGGCTTCCTTTGGCCGATTGCCTGCAACTAATTAAATATCATACAAAGCTTTGCTGTTAATCCTCCAGTTTTAGAGAACACTAGATGTCGTACTTTCAAATATTAGCTCTGCAACTCTGTATCATCAGAAAGTGAAAGAAAGAAAGAAAGAAACAAAAACCAACAGTAAATACGATCTATGCAGTGTGCAGCTGTCAGACTGCCAGAAATGACTCACTGTTTACAGATTGGACAGTCTTTATGTTCGATAAGTCCAAGCGAATTGACAGCAGTAAGCATATAACCACAGATTTTAAAGAGATGAAGATTTCTGTAGTTTTATCTCAATGGGTTAAACAAACGCTCAGTTGCTAATCACTGGGTCTTCCCTTTAACAGCCAACTTTAACAAGTGACTTCAGTTTAGAGAACATGATAATACCACCAACCATTACGTAATAATTGTGAACAAAAGCCTGACTGACTGACTAGATTCGACGTAGAACTTTGCACCGAAGTGCAGCGGTTTTATTTGCCACATTCCCTTCATGTAGCTCACAAAGCAAGAGAAGAGAGTAAGGAAAGATTCAAAAGAGAGATAATTTATAGAAATATGAGGCAAAAGGAAAAGCAATATGGAAGAACAATATGGTTTTATGGGATATGATGCATCTGAGCAATTGAGAACGAGGATTTTCAGGCAGCCATATCACCAATTGTCTGTCTCCAGCCGTCATTGGTTCTTACCATCCCAAGAACCCCAGCCAACCAGTCAAGAGGTCTACACCTTCTTACGTGACTGGCTTTGGGATTTCATTGATTAACGAAGCCATGTTTTGCTTGGACCACAAGTTGTAGCTCTTTCGAAACCTGAGTGGTCCTATGTCAGCTAACATTCCCCGTCAGTCGAGGAAGGCGATGCCTAGGATAGGCATGCATGCGTAACACATGTCCTAACCATCACACTCAATCCATGTAACTTCACAGTCTCGTCGATTGATTTCCCCTCCCTCCTTACCTAGCACTCAACCGGTGCCTAACCTGAGTACTGCTCACCCTATTATACCACCACTTCACAAGGGAGATAGAACGCAGGTGCCTATGATCAAAGACAGCTAGTCGGCCAGGCTTCTCACGTCTTCCACTTTCCATAGCTATTTCTCACTCACAACTATATAGGAGGATAGTGAGAACTGCTGCTGAGCAGTACACATGTCCTTTGATCGATACCTGGCTGGATATCACATATAATAATCCTGAGATGGTATAAACTAGCATATGTGAAACTAACCCTCTGTATCCGTACTGAGATTTCGTCAGCGATCAACCCATAGGGGCTGCCTGATGCAACTTCCCAACGGTCAACGTGCTCTACCACCTCACTCCATATCTTTAAGCTAGGAGTCAGTGTAGTCCAGTCCTGTAGCGTCATCACTTTACATTTGGTGGGAACGAATCGCGCGTCACACATTCAAAGATTGCGGTTCACCTCAAGGTGTTCACAAGACTCTACTTTACTTTGTCAGTGACTTCATCTAAGAGGAACGAAAGCCTTGTAGACAAAAAGTCTACTCTTAGGCTAATATTGATAAATTAAATGAGAACACACTGAGAAAATAACTCACCTGATAATTTTTCCACGCCTCTGCTTTCTTAGCCATTTGTTCGGCTTCAGCATGTGCTATCGCCTCTAATGCTTCAGCTTCTGCACGACCACGTAATCGAATTGATTCTGCCTCTGCTTCAGCCTCAGCAATTAAACGCAAACGATCCGCTTCTGCTAATCGTTCTAAACGGAAACGTTCCGCTTCAGCTGGTTTACGTATAGTTGCGTCTAAATGACGTTCTTGTCGTACAATTTCCAATTCTTCTACTTGAATTTGTTGAGTTTTTTCAAGTACAGTGATTTGCATTTCTTCTTCTTTGATTTTTTGTTTCACTTTTGCTGCCTGTGTAAAAAAAATTGATTTTTTTTGTTTTTATGAGAAAGAGAGAGGGGGGTTAAAGCAAGACGTCATTGAAGACCAACTTAGGATCGACTGTATATTAGGCATGATTTGAATATGCCTGTCCAGAAAAGTTCATCAGGAAATACATGATCAAGAAAGTAAAAAATAACTATACTCTATCGATCAAAATAAGAAGTCTCTGTATATACAACTGCAATTCAAGATTGATGTACCTAGTGGAAAATAATTAGTGGGTCAGTGGTGCTGCGGTTAGGAGGCCCGTCAACCATGTACATGGTCCGAGATTTGATCCCCGGCCACCGACGTACTCCTTCACCTCGCTAAGCCAGTAATATAAGACTAGTAAGGAGGGAAGATTGGGCATGAGGCAGACTAGCAACCCCATCCTGTAAAAAATAAACACCACTGCTACAGAAACTTCAAGCCTCTAGCTTGAAGGGACCCTATGTTCTACTGGGAACGTGAAGGAATAAAAAGAAAATCTATTTATCAAAGAACTTTTAACGCTGGTAAACTACAAGTGAGATTTTTCTACACAATCAGCTGTGATGCTTCAAATGAAAGATGAAGTACCTAGACTAGCCACCTCTTCTTCTTGTATCTACCGACCAGTTCAACTGAGCTTGCGGTGGAGCGAGTTATATTGGCCGTTGCCCACTAGGAACCTAACTTCTTATGCTCAGGAACACTTAAACGGTGTGGCTAAATAAATTTATAGTTAGAGGCATCAATAATTTTTATTTTTATTTATTTTTTATTATAGCTTGATGCCACATCGTATTTTCAGTACAAGTATGGAATTTTCAGCATGGATATCGGTAACCCAAATTTTGCAGGCCGACCATAGATATCGGGATGCGTCGGCGGGGGATCGAACCCCGAACCATGTGCATGGTCGGCGAGAGTCCTAACCACTGTGCCAACGACTCGGCGTTAGAACACCTGGTCCAAACCAGCCACAAGGCTAATATTGAAGAATCCTTCTCCATCATCTATCGGATACCAGATAAACTGCCAAAAGCATCCAGGTTCCGAATACTTCAAATAGCGGAGGCTATTGTGATTTGCCAAAAAAACCACTGTTCTCTGTTCGCAGAAGAATCAGGTTCAGGCAGTCACTATTACTGTCTTGCCCTTCCGTGGAACCTACAAATTCATGAATTATGTGTTATTAGTTTTTCTAATATTTCTGATATTCAGCGTCGTGTTATGTTGATGCATACTATCACATTTAAAGATGCTATTGAACTGTGATCTAATCATATTATTGATTGATTCGATGTTATTTAAACACTTGTGTTGTTAATGCCCATAATTATGAATGCATATAACTGTAGAACTTGAAGAGGAGAAAGTTATCGAAAACACAAAAAAATCATGTGCACTGTGGTAGAGTATAATTCCATTATGGGTAAAATTTGTTTTGATAAAGTCTCACAGTGTTGTTATACAGTAATGTTTACTGATGACAACGTTTCGAGCACAATTTATTGCCGCTCATAATCATATGAGGGTACTCACACAACTTTCTAACTACCTTCATATAATTCCATTATTTCGATTCATCGCTTGATTTGATTGGTAGTAATATTTTCCATATTTCCAGTATGAGTGATGAGTCATGCCTATTGCATGTGTTGGGTGCAGACTCGATGAACCAGGATTCTCCACCTCTTTATATTACTTCTTAGGATTTAAACCCTCTCCCACCCTATTGCATGTTTGTATGTTAATGCATGCAGTGCAATCGTTGAGCTTTTTATACATTACCTATCTTCTCAGGTCAACTATTCTTACCTTTGCTAACCTTAGAATGTGTTGACTTTTTATAAACGCTAGTGTGTAGTTTGCCTTCTTCTATTCGTTTTATTTTACAATCTAACGTGATCACTAATTCTCCTTGTTCATTTTCCGATTCAAATATGAATTTTATTCCCTCCACTAGTGAGTTTATGCGTGTCAAGAAGCTAGAGATATGTTCTGTTTTTAACCCTGTGAAAGTGTCATCCACATATCTCCACCATATTTTTGGAGTAGGATTAAATGTGTTAAGCACAATATTTCCCCAGTTGTCCATAAACATATCTGCTACGATAGGGGATCACCAATATCCTCTAGTAGAGGGAATAAAATTCACATTTGAATCAGAAAATGAACAAGGAGAATTAGCCATGATGTTAGATTGTAAAATAAAACGAATAGAAGAAGGTGAACTAAACACTAGTGTTGATAAAAAAACCAACGCATTCAAACATATATTTAGACTTCAATTCATCTCATCCGTTAACTGTTAAGGCAGGCTTAGTCAAGTGTCTAACAAACCGAGCAGTAGCACTAAGTGGTACAAGAAAAGAAGTAAATGATGAAATGAAACAGTTAGAAGAGGCGTTGGTGTTAAATAACTGTCCTATAAAATTCATTAGAAAGATCAAAAAAGGTCAAAAGCAAAATAAAAATAATTGTGAAACAAGTAATGATAACATAAATAAGAGAGAATATAAGTCATCCACTGTTATGCCGTGTAAGGAGGGGACATCTGACACCCTCCTTACGTAGGATTCTCAATAAAGCAGGAATTAGGGTGGCATTTAAACCTACAAACTCACTCAGGTAAGACAAGCTCTGTAGGTTGACCCAATTAGACAAAATAATATAATTTACAAAATACCTTGCAATGACTGTGAGTTAAATCAACTACATAGGTCAAACTAGTAGGTCGGGGGTAGTCAGATTGTCGGAACACAAAAATCTAGCTAAGGTAAGAATGGTTGACCCAGAGAAGGTAAGTAATTCAGAAAAAAGGTCAGCGATTATACCGCATGAATTAACAACGCGGAACCACACAATAGAGTGGGGGAGGGTTAAAATTCTAAGAAGTAATCTAGGTAGGTGGAGAGCGAGAGAGGTTGATTACTGAATCCTGCCTGGTTCATCGAGTCTACACACCCAACACAACACATACAATAGGAATGACTCATAACTCATACCAGAAAATACTACTAACAATCCAACCAAGAGATGGAAAATAATGATGGAATTATATAAACGAAGTTAGAAAGTTGTGTGAGTGAGTGCCTTGATATGATGACAATGAGCAGGGTAATAAATTGTCATCAGTAAATATTCCTTACTGTATAACAGACACACTGTGTGAGACTTTATAAAAATAAAATTTTTTGTTAATCCATAACTGAAATGAAAGGCAAACAATTTTTTGGCTTACTTGTAATTCATAGGCTAATTCCGATTCAGCTTTACGTGCTTGTACTTCTTTTTCATAACTGGCATTTTTCAATTCAAAATCTCGTTTACACTTGGCTATTTCAATATCATTTGATAATCGACCAGCAACACGTTGTTTCTCAGCTTCTGCCTCTTTAATTCCAGCATCACGACGTGCTTCAGCCTCACCGATACGTGCATCACACTTCACTTGAGCTGTTCTTGCCAATCCAAGAGAGTTTAAATAACCCTTAAAAGATAATAGAGAATACATTAATAATAGTACATTCAAGAATGGAAACGACATGTTTAATTCATATTCTAGCATGAATTTTATTGATTGATGTATGGCACACACACACACATCCACGTTGAAGGTTTAAATCATGATCATCACAAGTTATAAACATATCATCTACATATCTCTTGTATAGATGCAGTCAAGACTCACCAAAAGACCAAGAATGTTGTTTCTCAGACTCACCATGAAGCAGTCAGCTAAGAATGGACCAAGAGGAGACCCCATAACTACACCATCTTTCTGTACGTAGAATTGTTTATTCAATTTGAAAACAGAAAGATTGAGCGAAGTTTATGATATCTTTTGATGTATCCTCCTTGTTCACCAATGTACCGTTAATGGAGCCAGTGGATTTTATATGTGAAGAGATTACTACACGAAACATAGACATCGGGATTTCTGTATCCACCTTGAAGGAACTTATTTCAAGATGAACAATGAATGTTCATTTCTTATTCAATAAGGAACATTACAGACAAATTGATGGTGTAGCTATGGGTTCCGCATTATGTACAATCCTAGCTGATTTTTTCCTCACTAAGTTAGAGAATAGGCCACTGAAAGGAGTAATTAATGACTTGGATTTCTACTGTCGATATATGGATGATACATTTCTGGTTATGAAAAACGAGAATGATGCAATGAACATCCTTGAAAGTAATGACAGTGTCTCAATCCCAGACGTCTTCATGGCAAGGGAAGAAGATGACACACTAAGAATGAGTGTGTGTGGGAACCCTACAACAACAGGTCAGTACACTCATTTTTCGCGTTTTGTAACTTTGAAATATAAAGGTAACCTGGTAAAGCGTCTGGTTCAAAGATCTAGGTTACTGTGTTCAGATGACTGCCTCAATGAGCAGCTTAAGATTATTAGAGAATTACTTAGAAAAATGGTTATCCAGGTAAGTTCATTGAGAAAAATATGAAATGAGTACTTAGGAGAGTCAGTGTGTCAACGGTTCCGAAAAAAATCACTGTTCATAAAACTGCAGTTCCTCGGTGACAACATCAGCGAAATAATATCACAGTGCCTGAAGAATACAGTTAAAAGAGCTTATTGTGCATCAGAGACACCTTGTCTCTTCAAAACCACCCCTATTCTATGTTCGAGAAATAAGGATAAACTACCTAAATTTGCCTCTTCTATGTGTATCTACCAGTTTGACTGCAGCTGCGGAGCTAGCTACATTGGGCGTACAATTAGGCAGGTTCATTAGCGCATTTCCGAACATCATCCAACATGGTTAAGCAAGGAACAAACAAGATCTATTCGTAGTTCTATTTTAGCACACCTTGTTGATACTGAGCATAAGGTTGATGTGAATACTGCATTTAAAATTATTTATCGCATTCCAACTAATCTTAATTTTGCTCGACGAGTTCGTCTTCTACAGACAGCTGAAGCAATCGGAATCCGCCTGAAGAAGCCAAGTCTATGTGTTCAGGAGAAATTTGTGCAGCCACTTTCCTTGCCTTGGCCATCGTTACATGAATGTGTAAGCCGGACTACTTCGTCCCCCTCCCCCTAAACCTATAAAAATTATAATTGTCCAAATTATTTTTATTTATTTTGACCACTTCATCTTTAATTACGTGTTATTCTTGTAAAATTAATTTATTCTAACCATTTCTACCTTTTAATTGTGTGTGTATTGATTTTCTTCGTTAATTATCACCCCACTGCTTGACATGTTGACACTGACTGACTAATTATTGTTAACAAACAAACATATCAGTGCCACTTGATGATTGGTAAACTGTTGTGTATTGTAATAAAAATGCTATACAGAATATATTAGAGTAGAGCCAGAGTGAGATGAGGATTTAATTGAAAAGTTAATATTTCTTCGCTCAATCTTTCTGTTTTCTAAATGTGTAAATGGGGATTTTTTTTCTATATTCAATTTGAATTGGATATTAATCGAACATCTCAGAAGTGGTTCCATCTGGTAGTTGATGGGAAGGGGAATTTCGAGACTGTTGGCTTCGATTTATAGTCACAGATGAAGCATATTGTCTCAGTCAGGGGGGGGGATGCTTGTGAAGAGACAGGTGATATCTGGTGAAAGCATTTGTCTTTCAAACATGTTGATATTTCTCACTGAATCAATGAAGTTACATGTATCATTAAAGCGCTATTTATTGTTATCATTATTAATTCCTTCATGTTCCCAGTGGAACATAGGGGGCTTCAAGCTAGAGGCTTGAAGTTTCTGTAGCAATGGTGATTATTTTTACAGGATGGGGTTGCTAGCCTGCCTCATGCCCAACCTTCTCTCTTTACTAGTCTTATTACTGGCTTAACGAGGTAAAGGAGTGCGTCAGTGGCCGGGGATAGAACCCTGGACCATGTGCATTGTCGGCAAGTGCCCTAACCGCAGTGCCACCGACGTAAGCCGCTTTACTTCATCATATATCCCCTTATCGGTTCAAGGCTATCTGCTAGCCACTTCGTGATCTGATGACATGGTGAGTTAATCATGTCTATGATAGGTCGAAGTGGGACAACCTTTTTAAGCATCCAGTGCAATTGCTGTTTGTTTTTTCCTCTAAATTAATTATCTCCACGGAGTCAATCATTCTAACCTTAGCTAAATTCTTATGTTGTGACAATCTGACTACCCCCCCCCCCCCGCCGATATACTGGTTTGAATGACCTACGTAATTGACTTCAGAAAAGAATATACCAAAGTTTATAAAAAGTCAACTCATTCTGATAGATACTTAGACGTCTCATCCGTTGTCTGTAAAGAGAGGGAATTAGTGAAGTTGGAAAGAAGTGCATAATTAGTGTCAGTAGGCGAATATAAAATCTTACATAATATGGTGTGAAATTTGATAAGATAGAATTCAATATTGTAAAAATAAAAGAATAATAATTTTGGACTTAGAATGATAAATGGGACAAGCGGAAATAATTCAGAGTGTGCTACATGGAGGGAGTGTGGCAACTTGAACTGCTGCACATCGGTGCAAAGTTCCATGTTCAAACCAGACAGACAATATATATATAGGCTGTCTGCAGTTGAAGAGAAACGCCTTGAAGTGAAATAAAGTGTGTGCACACATCTTTTATACTGTAAGCCTTGTTCGTCTTATTCTTACTTCGACAAAGTTAATCGAGATAGTAATTTTGGATTAGTGATATTAATAATAATAATAATAATTATAAGAATAATGAGTAAATAATGAATAGTATACATAAATCTGTAGAAAAACAACAAAATTGAGTAGATCAATATGAGAAAAGAAGACAAAAGAATGTCTGACCTTAAATAATTCACTAAACCAAAAATTAAAATGCATTTAATTGTAGTGCATAGTTAGATTTCAGTAATAGTGCAAATAATTAGTACAGAGAAAATTTATGACGGTTCTCCTTGATACTACTACTACTACTAATACTAATACTCGAATTATAAATGAGATTTGAATAGGAATATTATAAATCCCTATACTAGAACAAGACATATATATTAGTGAACAATATTGTTGTCAATATCTTAGATCTTTATCAGGTTTTACTCTAATTTATATAGCTTTATGTATATAAAAGAAAATTTAACCAATGACGGTCAGGACGTGGATCAAAAATGGGCTTGAGTTTTTGGATCACCAATGCCTCAGCTATTCCTAGATGTCTTGATTTCACTTCCTTTGGTAGGTTGGATCGGATCTTATATATAGCTTTGAAGGACTTTTCAAGTGGGGTTGGATATCCAGAATTCACTAGATGTTCTATTATTGAACTATATACCCGTTTGCGTTCTCCCTTTGCTAGCCATACTGGATAGTGTTCTCGCGCGCGTTTTACAAATGGACGTATGGTACGGCCAATGTACTCAGCTCCACACGAACAAGTGAACTTGTATATACACGTTGAAGTGGCCCTATGCGACAGCTTGTCTTTCACGTGTTGGGTTTCTTGCAGGAGAATGTTACTCGTAGGCAGCTGGCGGCGAAGTAAGTTTTACTGAGAGACTTTGAAAGCCGTCTGTGGAGAATTTCTGCTTCGGTATCACTTTTAAATTCGAGGTTCAATATTAGCATCTTTTTGGAGACGACCTGGACCTTTTCAGGTGTTTTTCTTGGTTTTAGATTCCTGTCTATGAATCTGGATGGGAATCCATTTTCTATCTTCTTCGATTGAATCTTCAGTGCAACTCTTCCGAATCCTCAAGGAAAGAGAGTATATTAGGTTTCTCTTTCTACTTAGAGGCACAAAACTTTGAAAGTTAATAAACTATCCGTTCCATGTGGGCTATTTGTAGATAGATCTTCTTAGCGAGTTGTCTGCAATCCTTCGTAGTTAAACGTCGAGGAAATGAAACACTGAGTTAGAATCAACTTCCAGGGTGAAATCCGTTGACCGCTTCACTTACTTGGGAAGTACCATCAGCCACCCCCAACGGGTTGATCTCCGACGAAATCTCAGCACGAATACAGAGGGCTAGTTTCGCATATGCCAGTTTACGCCGTCTCTGGCGTAGACGTGATATCCGGCTGGATATCGACCAAAGGGCATGTGTACTGCTCATCAGTCCGCTCCGTCCTGCTTTATGGCTGTGAGACATGGCAATTGAGAGCGGAAGACATGAAAAGATTAGCTGTCTTTGACCATAGATGCCTGCGTTACATCTTCCGTGTGAAGTGGTGGTATAATAAGGTGAGCAATACTGAGGTTAGGCGTCGAGTGCTAGGTAAGGAGGGGAAATCAATCGACGAGGCCGTGAAATTACATCGACTGAGATGGTTACGACATGTGTTACACATGCTTAGCCATCGCCTTCCTCGACCGACGGGCAATGTTAGCTGATATAGGGTCAGGCTGGAAAAGAGCTGGTGGCGGTCAAACGAAAACATGTCACCAGTCAATGAAATCCACAACAGTTAGTTTAAGCCACGTAGGAAGATGTGGACTTCCTGGTTGGGGTCCTCGGGACGGTAAAAACCAATGGTTGGAAACAATTGGTGACATGGCTCAAAATCGTTCTCAGTGGCGCAGATGCATCCACTCCTTGTGACTTATGATTTCCAATGAAACTATATTGTTCTTCATTATTACTATTCTTTTGTCTCACACTGGTTACTGTCTATACTATGCATTTCTCCTACTTTCTTCTCTTGCTTTGTGTGCTACATGGAGTGTGGCGACTTGAACTGCCGCACATATGTGCGAAGTTCTATGTCGAAAACCGACCGACCGACCTCCAGGGTGAAATCGATGTTTGGGTGGGCGTTATTGAAGATTTGAAGTAGGTTTTTTAGATCACGATTCTCATCACAAATAATGAAAGCATGATCGATGTATCTCTTGTAGAGATGGAGGTCGCCGATATATCTAAATATCTTACATCTCCTTCAGGTTTTACTCTAATTTATACAGCTTTATGTATAGAGAATTTAACCAATGACGGGGAGTATGTGGATGAGAAATAGTAATAATAAGTGTGTATTGACAAATTCAGCTGTTCCTGAGAGGTAAGCTACTATATTGGGCGAAATACTAGACAGCTCAACAAACTCATCATCACTGAGCATCTTCCTTCATGGTTCGGAAAAGGCCAAGTAGAGCCATTGAGAAGTTCTATTTCTCGTATTTGATTGGTGACAGCGGTCAACAAATGGACAGAAGTTATCTATCACATTCCACTGAACCTTTCGAATGGAATTCGAATCCTCCTGTTAAGCATATAGCCGAAAAAACTATGGGAATTAATTCGAGAGAACAATCTTAGTCTTTGTTCCACTTTTGTCTCTCCCTTGGTCTAGGTAAGTTCTAATTAAAACTCTCCCACCCTTTCTGATTTTCTATTTCCTTCTTGTTTTTATGGTATCTATTTAAACTCAGATTATCTGTCCACTTCACCACGAGTATTGCGTAACTTTTAGGATTTGACCTAATTTATTTATTTATTGAAGTGTCTACATATGCACAAACATATTACTACCTTATATATGTCCAAACCAAGTTCACTTTTAACGGTTTGAAAAAATTTGGGCATTGGGTATATGATATTCATTATAATAAAGGGTTTTTGTATTTCCCAATAAATGAAAAACAAAACGATATTGCTGCTTTTACTGACGTTTCGCTATTTAATGCTGCTGCTAATAGCTTTATCAAAGTATTATTAAACCAGAATTTACAAAATCTCAGCATATATATAACAAACAGTTAGAGGGTGAGAAAATAGACAAGTTAGGTCAAGTTAAAGGGACATATTGAAAGTAAAAATAGCAATGAAGATCACTAAACCAAATAACAGAGGTAATAGGACATCTGTTATGATATCAAAATAAAGTTTACTAACTTCATCATCGTTCGACATTCTGGGGACATTTTTAGTTGTCAAGTTGGTCAATTGGTAAAGATAACAAAATCAAGTGTGGATTGTTGGATTTGATCGGTGTGTGAAATTATAAAAGTAGTGTGTGTTTACATGGTGAACTTGCTTATCACATTCGTGTTGATTTTGTCACTTCATGGGGGAGGCAGGTGTTGTAACCAGGTCAGATTCTGTTTTAGTCCATCATTCCTATTCAGGCAATTTGGATTCCACTTGATATGAAGTGCTTCTGATGATATTAGACGTTCTTTGTGATTTCTGAAGTTTTTCTGGATTATTTCAATATTGTCAAAATCAATTATGTGGCCTGATTCTATAGCGCGAAGACCTATGGCTGATGATTTTTCAAGTTTTTCTAGTTCAACCGGATTTCTCGGTGGTCGAACACAGATGATCTACGGTGTTCATTTCTTCTGATTTTGATTTCTCGAGATGTTTGTCCAATGTATATTGCACCACATTCCAAGCATTTTATTTTATAGACACAATTAGATAGAGAATCTTAAGGCATTTGGTCTTTTATATGGACAAGGTTGCTTTGAAAACATCAGACACACTTCAAAGGTTGTTCCGTAGTGTGTCTGATGTTCTGAAGAAAACTCTGATGTCGAGCTTATTGAGTACTCTTCTGATATCGTCTGACGTCTCTGCGCTATATGGAATGACAACTGTTGAGGCCCATGTTTTCGGAATACGTTTGCGACCATAATTAATGTCAGTGTTAATTTTGTTGATGGAGTTCTTTGGGTAGTTGTTTTGCTTGAGAGTTTCAGTAATGTTTGATATTTCTTCTTCTTTTTCTTTCTCATCCGTTAACATCAAAGAGTGTGCTCGTCTAAGAAGACTTGAAACAACTGATACCTTTGAGCTGATGGGCTGTGATGATTTGAAGTCCATCTTTACCAATTGACCAACTTGACAACTAAAAATGTCCCCAGAATGTCGAACGATGATGAAGTTAGTAAACTTTATTTTGATATCATAACAGATGTCCTATTACCTCTGTTATTTGGTTTAGTGATCTTCATTGCTATTTTTACTTTCAATATGTCCCTTTAACTTGACCTAACTTGTCTATTTTCTCACCCCCTAACTGTTTGTTATATATATGCTGAGATTTTGTAAATTCTGGTTTAATAATACTTTGATAAAGCTATTAGCAGCAGCATTAAATAGCGAAACGTCAGTAAAAGCAACAATATCGTTTTGTTTTTCATTTATTGGGAAATACAAAAAAGCCTTTATTATATTACTACCTTCGTTATTCTTATCGCCATGTGTATAAATATTATTATTATTAATTTTGCTCTCATTATAATCATTGGCATTACTGACGTTCAAAACATTTAACACACTGTTATTATTATTACTGTCATTATTTTTACGAGTTTGATCACGAATTGGTATAAGTTAGAGAACCACTGAAAACTAGGGATTACTGGATAGCTGTTTCCTTTGTCCTAGTGCTTGGCAATCATCACCCTTGACCGTTTTCAAAAATAACCTTAAAAACTGTGTACAGTAACAATTTGTTATTACTCTTAACCTACTACTACTTTGGTAATCCTTATCCGATTAGATAACCAAAGGTGGCTGATGAGTCCCAAATAGGACGAAATGCGCATCCTAGGTGGATTCCACTGCTAGTCACCATCCACCAATTAAATTCTAATTACATGCCCAGACATCGTCAAAGCATCTGAACAAGAAGTCGACACGACAACCTGAGACCAAGCACCTCGGTCGAATCAATCGACGGAAAAATCTAAAATTCAATTAAATATTCTTACTGATTCTTAAATCCCTTTTGTCATGTCGCTTTGTGTATTTTAATTGGCCTTTATTATTTTCCATATAAATCGACTTGACAAGTAAATGTGTGAGGGATCGGATTGTTGTTCGAAAAGCATTACAATTATTTTTTGTCCGTTGGGTTCCGAGCGGAACACACACGGGGCTTCAACAACACATCTCCACTTTATTACATTCTTTGCGATCTTTTTTTAGCCGGTTCCATGATTGCCCATAATCTCTCATTTCCTCCTCTTAAAACCATCTTATCCATATCAATCTCGCAAAGACGATCCACTTGTCGCTTCCCATTGGAGTTCCACTCGAGTCATGGCCTGCATTGAGCGCGATGTCATTCGAAGGTTGCCTCAGTGTGTGCGCCCAATCCATATCCATTTTCTTCTACATATATGTTGAGCGATCGGCTCTTGATTGGTTTGCTGACAGCCAGAGTTTCTTGTTAGTAATTCTTTCTGGCCAGTCGGCTGGCCATTTGATCTTCATTATGGAGTCAGCCAGCGAGCGAAGTTGGCAGCTGTTGATAAAAGTCTACAATCTGTTTTTCGTAATGTACATGGCTCTTCGTACATGTCTTCACTCTATACTGGAGATTAGATGGCCGGAAAGAATCACCAACAAGAAACTATGAGAACAAACAAAACAACAACCAATTGTTCAGGAGAAAGTGGAGATGGATTGGACACTCGCTGAGGAGGCCGCTGGTTGGCATCGCGTGTCACGCCATAGCTCGAGTGGAACCCACCGAAAGGGAAGCGGCGAGTAGTGGGACATCCAAGGGTGACATGGAGGAGATCGTGTGAAGAAGAGCTGAAACAGTATGGACAAACATGGATGCAAGTGAAAAGTACAGCGAAAGACAGAAGCAAGTGCAGAAGTGTAGTTGAAGCCCTATGTTCCACTAGGAACCCAAGGGAACAATAATAATAATAAATACATGGCACAAATACATCACATCACGTCTCCCAGATAATCTCCGCCTTATAATATGACACCATTTAAATTAAAATATTTACCGGAGATCATTTTCACTTGAAAATAACCACTCAAAATAAAAGAAAATAGAACAAAAGAATTTTCTCAGGAAAGAATTTTTCCACCTTAAAAAAACAGCAACACATACCTCATCATCTTTAATATCTTTCAGTGTATAACTGACAACACTAATCCCCATATTGACTAAATCAGAACTGGCTACTTCAAAAACAGCTTTGGAAAATTTCTTTCGATCCTTGTAGATTTCTTCAACTGTCATATTGCCCATGATAGCACGTTGATGACCTTCAAGAGTTTCTTGAGCTATTTCACGTATTTCATTTTCGGATTTGCCTAAAAATTGTTCACATGCAGCTGCCAGCATTTCTCTATTCGTCCCATTGATTTTTACCTAATTGAAAATGAGAACAAGAAGAAGATGACAGAAGTAAAAGTGAGAAAAGATTTACTCAGAAATCTTAATAAACAAGTGCTTCTGAATGTATGGGGGATTTCATCATGAGCTGACATCAGATAGAGAACCACTAGAAAACCTGGGAGTACTGGACAGCCGTTTCGTCCTAGTTTGGGACTCTTTAGCATTACGCACCCACACCACGGTTCAAACCCAGGACCTTCTGGTTACAAGGCGAGCTCGTAGACCATTGAGCCACTGGGACCCGATCCGATTGCCACTCCATGAACTCTAACTTCTGCCAATTCACGACATAGTGCGACCATTTCGCAATGTCTTTTCTTTTTTTTTGATTACAGCTTGATTCCACACTGGATTTTCAGTACAAGTATGGAATTTTCAGCATGGATATCGGTAGCCCAAATTTACAGGCCGACCATAGATATCGGGTGTGCGCCGGCAGGGGATCGAACCCCGGACCATGTGCATGGTCGGCGAGAGTCCTAACCACTGCGCCACCGACGGTGATGAGTTGCTTCCTCACCTTCAACCTGCTGTAACCAACTGGTCACGGCTTCCTACTAGAGTCCCAGGTAACCACTGCCTGAACAGGGCGAGTCGTTAGTGAACATCAGATTAATTTTCAAGTATTGGTTTTGTAGGGATTTTGTTTGATTGAATGGAGGATTTCATCATGAGCTGACATCAGTTAGAGAACCACTGGAAAACCTGGGAGTACTGGACAGCTGTTTCGACAGCTTCTGAATGCGCTGTGAATAATGTGTTCAACCAACTGTTCTGACTAACTGACTGATTTCAACGTAGAACTTTGCACCGATGTGCAGCAGTTCGAGTTGCCACTTTCTCTCCATGTAGCACGCAAAGCAAGAAGAGAGAGTAAAAAGAAATTCAAGGCAGAGAGAGATAATAAACAGAAATATGAGGCAGAAAGGAATAGTAACATGGAAGAACAATAGAGTTTTATAGGATATTCATTGAGAACGACAATTTTGAGCCATATCACCAATTGTCTGTCTCCAGCCGCCATTGGTTCTCACCATCTCGAGAACCCCAGCCAGCCAGTCAAGAGGTCTACACATTCCTACGTGACTGGCTGGCTTAAACTAACTGCTGTGGATTTCACTGACTGATCAAGCCATGTTTTGGTTCGACCACAACTAGTAGCTCTTTTAAAACCTGAGTGGTCCTATGTCAGCTAATATTCCCCGTCGAGGAAGGCGATCGATGGCTAGGCATGCATGCGTAACACATGTCTTAACCATCTCATTCAATGTAATTATTATTATTGTTTCCTTTAGTTCCTAGAAGAACATAGGGCTTCACCCGCATGTCTCCATTGCGTTCGGTTCTCTGCCAACGTTTTCACCTGGCTGCACATCCACCCACATACTTCCATCTCCTCTTCGCATCACCTTCTCCTCCGTGTCACCCTTGCAATGACAACCAATTCGCCGCTTCCCACTCGAGCGATGACCTGGTGTGTGATGTCACTTGATGGTTTCCTCAGAGTATGGCCAATCCACCTCCATTTCTTCCGGTATATTTGTTACACAATTGGTTCCTACACCTGAGGTTGTTACGTGAATGTATAGGTTACAGGAGAGCGACTTTTTGGGTTGCTCCCCTTGGCATCAGAAAAACAGGGAATAAAGAAATCAGAACAACACCAGCAAAGGGAAAATTTTTAAAAAATTTACAACAGAAAGGGCAACGACAACAACAATAAAAAAGCCGTCGCAGTAATACCACTGTCAAAAACACAGTTAACAAAAATGATATCAAAACCATGGGCTCACTGACTTGGGTCAAATTGAGTAAGTCCAACAATATATACAAATATAGATATTAGTAAGTGTTAAAAAGTCACAACATGCCAAATAGATAGATATAGGTATTCTATCTGTTTTCGACATAGAACTTTGCACATATGTACGGCAGTTCAAGTCGCCACACTCCATGTAGCACACAAAGCAAGAGAAGGAAGTAGGAGGAATGCATAATAATGACAATAAACAGAGGCGTGAGACAAAGGAATAGTGATAACGAAGAACAGAACAGTTTAATTGGAAATCATAAGTCACAAGGAGTGGATGCATCTGCGCCAATCATTGAGAACGATTTTGAGCCATGTCACCAATTGTTTCCAACCATTGGCTTTTACCGTCCCGAGGACCTCAACCAGGAAGCCAGTCTACACCTTCCTACGTGGCTTAGACTAACTGTTGTAGGTTTCATTGACTGGTGACATGTTTTCGTTTGACCGCCGTTAGCTCTTCTCCAGCCTGGCCCTATATCAGCTAACATTCCCCGCCGAGGAAGGCGATAAATAGGCATAAGTAGCATATGTCCTAACGATCTCAATCAATGTAATTTCACAGCCTCATAGATTGATTTCCCCTCCTTTACCTAGCACTCGACGCCTAACCTCAATATTTCTCACCCTATTATACCACCACTTCACACGGGAGATAGAACGCAGACACCTATGATCGAAGACAGCTAATCTTTTCATGTCTTCTGCTCTCAATGGCCAGGTCTCACAGCCATAAAGCAGGACGGAGCGGACTGTTGAACAGTACACACGCCCTTTGGTCGATAGTCGGATATCACGTCTACGCCAGAGACGACGTGAACTGGCATATGCGAAACTAGCCCTCTGTATCCGTACTGAGATTTCGTCAGAGATCAACCCGTTGGGGCTAATGGTACTTCCCAAGTAAGTGAAGTGGTCAACGTGCTCTACTACTTCACTTCCTATTTCTAATCTAGGAGTCGGTGTAGTCTAATCCTGTAACATCATCTTGCATTTGACAGGGGGAGCGAATCGCATGCCAAACATTCGTAGATTGCAGCTCAAGGTGTTTAGAAGACTCTAAATTTTGTCAGCGTCCTCGCCTAGAAGGGCTATATCGTCTGCATATTCTAAGTCAACGAGATTATTCCCTGGAAGCAAGTCAATCCCTGAGTCTCTGAAGTGAGTAAGGGTTAAGAGCATTAGTACATCTATGACGAAGTTGAAAAGAAATGGGGATTATGGGAATCCTTGACGGACGCCACTAGCCGTCACCACTTTAGATGACAACTCGCCGTAAGCCCTCACCTGGCTGCATGAGTACGAGTAGAGTGCCTTAATCAGTGCAATGTAGATAAGGAAAGAAACTTGATCGATGGAGTTGTTAAGCTCTATCGGTCGAGGTGGCTAGGAAATGTACTATGCATCTCGAGCTACCACTTACCTCAATGAGCAAAATTATAAAAAGTAAGATTAAATTGGAAAAAAGTTGGATTAGACCAAAAAATCTGTATTAATCCATAACATATCTGATTATTTATTTAAGACGCTTAAGGAGGTGTAAACTGTCTACAGTTTCATTAATCAACGCTTTGTTTTAAGCAATACAGTAAACAGGGTGCCTACAAGCCAACAGCAACTGATCCATTCAGTTCTGTGAATGAAGGAGAATTTGTAGAAAGACAAAAACGAAGTGTATAATAAAATATAAATATATTTTAAGAGGTATATATATATACCTACCTGGGAAGCATCGTTTTAACTACAGGCGGAACTGACGAGGATATCAAAGCAGGGATCGGGAAAGCAAAAGCAAGCTTTCACTACTCTCAAGTCTGTGTGGAGGTCAACAGCACTCAGCATGAAAATATGAAAGAAAGATCCGGATTTTCAACTCCAATGTGAAGTCAGTGCTACTATACGGATCAGAGACTTGCACTACGCGTCATAAAGAGCATCTCAAACAAACTACAGACCTTCATTAACAGTTGTCTTCGCTCAATACCACTCAAGATCAGATGGCTGGCCAGAAAAGATCAGCAACAGGGAGGGATCTCTGGAAGCGAACCAACCCAACAGGAACCGATTGTGAAACAAATATGCAGGAAGAAATGGAGATGGACTGGCCATACTCTGACGAAACCATAAAGTGACATCATTAGACAAGCCATTGCTCGAAAGGGAAGCGGCGAGTTGGTCGTCAGTGCAAGGGTGGGTGACTTGGAGGAGGTCATGTGAAGAGGAGATAAAAGCATGTGGGCAGACTTGGAGCCAGGTGAAGACTCTAACAGAGAACCGAACGCAATGGAGACGCACGGCTGAAGCCCTATGTTCCTCTGGGAATTAAAGGAAACAATAATAATATAATAATAATAACAATATATAATCCCAAAGATAAACGTACTTGTGCAACACCAGTCACTGTAATCGGTACGCCTAGTTGAGTGTAGATTCTTGGACTTTCAATGATTAACGTCATTGTATTCAATGAGATTCTTCATTTATTTGAAATTATGCAAAAGAAGATAAACAATTGAAAATATGTTACAACCAGTTAAAAAGAAAAGAAATCTTTACAGAAATAGAGAAGGCGAACCATCGATCAACTTTAAGAATTTCACTGAGCGTTTATTTTCATATTACATGGTAAAGCGATGGATTATACGATGGGAAGACAATTGCTACTGGTTATCAAGTGATGATCTAACAATTTAGAAGATAGAATTATAAAAAAATAGAAACCAAATCAGGAAATAGTACATCGAATCAGTTTTCTGAGAGGTTGTTACACTGCCTCAGGATGGTCGGGGGTGAGTGCCTTGCGTTGCGTGTTGGCCACCCCTCCGCACACCTCTTGAAATGCTCCCATATGACCAGGCGTCTTACATAGCCTCTCCTGAGGAAGTCCTACTCACTGCCTTCTCGTGGCGGAGGTGTTTCTCACCAAAGTGAGAGGGCGAAAGCGGATGCCCGGCGCTCTTCACCGGGTTGACTGTCCATTGGATGACAGTCTAGGGGAAATGGCTAAACCCTGATTCCAAACCTTCAACGACTGGCGTATGAAGCTCACTAAAGCTCACCGGCAGACGTATGGACAAAGGGCGTGTTGGATGTCCTGGATGTCTGGCCCCATTCAAAAAGGCGTATGAACCGAACTCCGGTCACCGGCTGCCAATGGATAGTGGACTCCCTACTCCACTCCTACTGCCTTGTAGGTCACACTTGGTTGTGTAAAGGCTAGAGCTGCACTCTCAAACAAAAGGTCGAGCGATTCTGGGGACTTCACTCGTACCAAATTCCCACGAAACTTCATCAACTCTCTTGCTACAACATCAATCAAATTCCAGTACTAGTCCAACAACGTCGCCTTCGGTGGTTTGGCCATATTCTGCGCCAACCAGATGACGATCTGGTCAAATCAGTTCTAAATCCCTCGCCATTACCATCTTGGCGAGGTCGCAGGGGTGGACAGCTGAAAACATGGCTTGGTACAGTCAAGGCTGATATGGAGTGCCTGGGGCTACAAACCGTCTACGGACTCCGTCTGTGGAACAAGAATTGGATAACCCTGTCGCAAAACCTTGCATCAGATCGCCGCGCCTGGGCAGCGATGATTCGAGATGTTCATGAAGCCGGCTCATCCTCTCGTAGGAGATAGCCGAAGTAAAGTAAAGTAAGTATACAGTGAAAGATTAAAGGGGTGCAGATCTGTAACATTTTTTACTTAGATCAGTCTTTGTCTGTCTATTTTCAACAAAGAACTTTGCACTGATATGCAGCAGGTCAAGTCGCCGCACTCCCTCCATGTAGCATACAAAGCAAGAGAAGAAAGTAGAAGAAATGCAAAGTAGAGACATTAGACAGGGATATGAGACAAAAGGAGTCGTAAAAACGAAGAACAATATAGTTTCATTGGAAATTCTACGTCACAAGGAGTGGATGCATCTGCGTCTGCAATTGAGAACGAGTGTGAGCCATATCACCAATTATCTGTCTCTAGCCTCCATTAGTTCTTACCATCCTGAGGACCCCAACCAGTCAAGAAGTCCACACTTTCCTACGTGGCTTAAACCAACTGTTGTAGGTTTCACTGACTGGTGACATGTTTTGGTTTGACCGCCGCTAGCTATTTTCCAGCTTGACCCATCCTATGTCAGCTAACATTGTCCGTCGAGGAAGGCGATGGATAAGCATGCATGTGTAACATATGTCCTAACCATCTCAGTTGATGTAGCTTCACAGCTTCGTCTATTGATTTCCCCTCCCTCCTCGACCTACGCTTAACCTCAGTATTGAATACCCTATTATACCACTTCATACGGGAGATCAGTGAGCTAAAACTTCATTCCAAAGTAGTAAATAAACACTATAGATCAAAATAATTCAGTTGAAATTGATACAACTTTTAAAAAAGGATCTTGTTACGTTCAAAATGGAAGATTACTATGTAAGCATCAATAAATGATTAAAAAAAGAAAACTGGATGAAATAAGCACAACTACAGGAAATACTATAAGAAAATCTTCGAAAAAAACGCCTTAAGGGAAGCTGTGACTAAGGAATTTATAGAAAATCAAAACAAATGATTGAGTGAAGAAACTCTTTTCAACGAATTTATCATCAGGTTTCGTTTTCGACCGGTCGATTCGGTTGCTTGCCACTCGTATTCGGCACATATGTAGCCCTGATACTGTGGAAGGTGACTTAAACATCTTGAGGAAAATCCTAATAGAAAATGGATTTCCATCACGTTTTATAGATAAGAATATACGTTCAAATCCTAAAAAACGTGACTTATCAACCGTACCTAAGAAAATACTTTACATGAGCTTGGAATTCAAAGGGGACTTAGCTTCCGATATCATAAAACAAAGGATATCACAGTCCCTGGAAAGAACATTTCCTACCGCATCTCTGAGAATAGCCTTTACTAGTCGACCATTACTGTTCAATAACGTGAAGCACAAGATCCCCCTGTTGACCAACTCTGTGTGTTTATCAATTCACCTGCTCGTGTGGAGCTAGGTATATCGGTCGTTCGACTCGAGTTTTGTCCAAGAGGGTGCAAGAACACTATCCTGAATGGTTACGAAAAGGTGAAAGTGGAGCAATAAGAAGCGCGATCACTGAACATCTGATCAATAATGATCACCCTATCTCTATAGCCTCCGCCTTTAAAGTCATTTACCAGGCAAAGAGTAATTTACCCAAATCCCTACGTACCCGACTCATTTGTATTGCTGAAGCTTTGACTATCGAAACAGAAAAGCCAGATCTCTGTGTACAGAAGAACTTCGTTCAATCCCTCCAACTTTCATGGTCTCAATCCCTCTATGTTAAAGTATGGTAATCCCCAATCATATTTTAGCTCTACCAATTTTTTCATTTTTTCATTTTTTGATTTTTGTCTATTCAATTTGTATACTCTTCCTTATTAAGTCAATTGTTACTATTACTACTCTCACTTTTAATTGTCCCCGGTATTATTTCACTTGTTCCACTTGTCATTCTAAATCAATTCTTTTTTAAAACATTAAATTCTATGCTATTAAATTTCACACAATGTTACATTACGTTTTTATTTTATTCGATTTGTCTACTAATCTTATAATTGCACACCCTTTCCAAGTTCTATCCATCCTATGAATTATTCTATGTATGACATTAATTTGCTTTGCCACTTGACATTTAACTACGATTATAATCACAAACATTTTAGTTTTAATTGCATTTCATATTATTATTATTATTTTATAATAATAATAATAATAATTTTTGCTTTATTCCAAAAACAGTATTAATGATACAGCAAGGAATTTTCAGCATTCAGTACAGTATTGCATCTAATTTACTCAAAAACGACAACAACAAACAAAAAAAAGTAGATAAACGGAATAATTAATACATAATAATGATAAAAAAAGGTTTTTATAGGAGCTATGTAGCAATTACAGTAGAGGATAAGGAGAAAAATATAAAATTATAGTAATAATAGTAATAACAACTAAAATAAAAATAGCAAAGTTATAATTAAACGATAGAAAGGGTGACACCATAGAATTACAGAAAGATGAACAATGAAAGGGTCGATTCACTATGCTAATTACATAGTAACTTATATGTTTCACGTCTAACAGTGTCTTCATCACATAAAATACGGGCTAAGTACGGTATTGTAGAATTTTTGTACTTAGTGGTACGAGCATATAATTTCTTATATTGACTTCTCGTTCTACCTGATGAGATACAAGGGGATAATTGTGAATAAAGAGGGTGCAGAGGGTCTGACAGTACGGCCTTTGCCCAATTTTTACAGGAATTTACGTGTCTCTCGACTATGGTATTGGCGAGATCACGCAGTGGCAAACCACAAGCCCTACTCACAGCATTTAATACCCTTCGTAATACGGCATAGTCTTTTTTAAGAAACCCAGGAAAGATTAATGGAGAACAATAAAGTAAAATGGGTAAAATACAGGAGTTTAAAAATCGCAGAACTAAAGGTTGGCTGATACCTTGTTGTCTTAACTTTTTAATGTAGAAGGTAAGACGAAACATTTTCTTAGAGACCAATAAAATGTGAGATGACCATGAAAGGTCCGAGGAAAGAACTAATCCAAGGTATTTAATGCTTGATTTGGTTTCAATTTCTGTACCATCTATGCTACAGGCATCATGGGAACTAACTAGTTCATGTATGTCACGTCGATGGTTGAAGGTAAAGTTAACTGCCTGACATTTGGAAGGATTTAACATAAGACCATTTGACTTAGACCACATGCTGATGTCCAACAAAAAGCTATTAAGTTTGGAGCAGTCAGACTCGGAAGTGATAGGCAGTGATACAGTCAGATCATCAGCATATTTGACAAAATTGGTTTCGTTTAAATGTGGCAGGTCATGTAAGAAGAAAGAAAAAAGAAAGGGAGAGAGGACGGCACCTTGAGGAACACCGGCTTTTGTAAGCAAAGCAGAAGAAGATTTGCCATTATATGCAGTATACTGCATTCTATCAGAAAAATAAGAATGCAACCAACTCTTAGCCCAGGATGCTGTGTGCGTCAAGGAGAGCTTATTTAATAAAAGGCCCCTAGGTACAGAGTCAAAAGCAGATGTGTAGTCTAGGAAAGCACCACGGACATATTTGGCACCTTTGTCTAAACAAGAAACAACATTATGATATAAGACAACCGCAGCATCCAAGGTACTTCTACCATGTTTATATGCAAATTGCTTAGGGTCATTAAAAGCTTTCAATGAAGGTTCAAGACGAAGTAAAAGTAGTTTTTCCATCAATTTTAAAAAAGGAGAAGTAATTGCAATAGGCCTAAATTTACTATCGGTACCAGAAGATTGTTTTGGTATAGGGACAATTTTAATGTTTTTCCATGCAGAAGGTAGAACATTACTGGAAAAGGAAGCATTAAAAATATTAGTAAGAGGGTAACACAAAATATCAGCACACCTGTTTCAATTCCCTCATCGAATATAGCTTCTTAAAAACCATATATATACGATTGTACAGCTTGATGATAAATTCGTTGAAAAGAGTCTCTTCGCTGAATCATTTGTTTTGATTTTCTATATGTTACAATGGGAATTTTCCATGATTTAAGGAATCTATATCTTGAATTCAATAAATACTGGTTATTTCTATAGCACTTCTTGAATGTATATAAACTACAAACCCAGCAATGCTAAAATCAAACACTAAGTGCGATCCACTTATAATACACTAAATTTATCATGACAGTCATCAAAGGATGTAGCAAGTTTTGACTGGCAATCGGACAATCTAAATGGAGTCTTCCTTTCAAAAATTTGAAACAGTTAGTCCCTTTTATAAATTTTGATAGCATTATGAGAAGACGGAGATTATCTGAAAAATGTGATGTATTAGCGCTATACATTTCGAACAATCTGATCACACATTTACTTGTCAAGTCAATATATATGGAAAAGTTAAATTAAACAAGGTGACAAAAAAAAAGAATTAAGAATAATTAACACAAACGTTTGGTAATCCAATCAAATAAGGATTACCAAGGTAGGTTAAGAGTAATAACAAACTGTTTTTGAATACACAACGGGGGGCTTAAGTTTATGAATGGCTATAGCCTCAGCGTATTTCAGTAAACGTCCTTGACCGTTTTTATAGATGACCTTAAAGGCAGAGTTAACATCAACCTTATGGCTCATCTCGATTAAATGTTTAGCTATAGACGAAGTTGGTAGTCTGGCACCTGCATCTATGGGCTTGTCACAATTCATCTGTTTTCCTAACCGCTTTGGGATATGCTCTCCCACCCTCACGTGCAACGCGCGATTACTCCTCCCTATGTATGTATGTCCACACACACAAGAAAACTGGTAAATTGTATGGGATGTGATATAATCACTTGTGCACTTTTGAGGTTTCCAGTGAAGCATATTTTTAGCCTTTTCGACAATTACAAGCTGGGCTGCATAGTAGGTTCTACGGATGATGGAATTCAACCTTTGTCTCAAAATCCTACTATTTATTTCCCCATTACATGGTAATTTGATGAAAACCTTTTTCTTAGGGACGGTATAGATTGTAGGTTTAGAGGCTAGTTGACTTCTACACCTGTTTAAAAACTTCAAAGGATATCCGTTTTCAACAAGAGTATCCATCAATATTTCGTTTTCCTTGTCTATAACATCAGCCGTGCAAATACGCTGAATCCTCTTAAATAGACACTTCACCAAGCCTCTCTTATATTGTAGTGGACAGAAGCTGTGAAAATTAAGATATTTCCCCCCGTTGTGTATTCAAAAACAGTTTGTTATTACTCTTAACCTACCTTGGTAATCCTTATTTGATTGGATTACCAAACGTTTGTGTGAATTATTCTTAATTCTTTTTTTTGTCACCTTGTTTAATTTAACTTTTCCATATATATTGACTTGACAAGTAAATGTGTGATCAGATTGTTCGAAATGTATAGCGCTAATACATCACATTTTTCAGATAATCTCCGTCTTCTCATAATGCTATCAAAATCTAAATGGAACTTGAAAGGAGTTAATTTTTCATAAATAACGACAGAGAATATTAAAATACCGGTGAAGTATCACGAAAATGAGTCATATCATCGACGACAAATAACGGATCAGAAAAACCACACGAGTTTTCGAAAATAAAAAATCCTAATTCCTACACATTATAACTATTCTTATAGTACCATGAATAGACTTAAATAACAATTCAATTTGTCCCGGCTAACTCACTGCAATTTGGCATAACTACAGTGTGCCGTAATTTAACAGTATTTAAAGTTGAAAATTAATGTACAAAGGTGTAGGTTACTCTCTTCTATATGAATAAGAAATGAGAATGGTGTGATAACCTACTGATTATACTGTGATCACACTATAATGAAGAGATGAACCTTCTGACATTATTAACTGCAGTAATAATATGCTATCAATGCTCCACAGACAATCCAAAACATCCCATCCACCTGACTAATCTTTCTCCAAACAAACACAAATTAGCACGCATTCGCGCACGCACCACGACTAAATAATCACACATCCAGCCACAGCCATCATCACTCTCCTTCACCAATAGCGTCAACCACATCGTCATCTTGCTGCTGCTGGATTCAACATAGAACTTGGCACCGAAGTGCAGCAGTTCGAGTTGCCATGTTCCAAATAGCACACAAAGGTAGACAGGAAAATGAGAGAAGAGAATCAATAGAATTTAGATAAGTAAGAGTGAAACAGAATGAGTAATGGTAGAAAGGAATATGAAAGATTACAGAGACTGAATACATCTGCGTTAGCCATTGACAACGATTTTCAGCCATGTCACCTATTGTCTGTCTCCAGCCATTGATTCTTAGAGTCCCGAGGGCGGGCCCCAACCCGGAAGTCTGCATCTCCCTCCCTACCTGACTCAGTTTAACTGTCAAGGATTCCATGGATTGATGCCATGTTTTTGTTTGGCATGGCACCACTTACTCTTCTCCAACCTGCACCTATATCAGCTAGTAATGCCCGTCCGTCGGGGGAGGCGATGGTTAGGCATGCGCAGCACGTGGCCTAACCATCTCAATCTATGTAACTTCATAGTTACATAGTTCACAAAGCTGCTACCTTGACGTGGTGGTCGGGCTTGAACACCGCAATGACCCAACAAGCTATACTGGCTGGAACTTATGTTCCTGCAGGTCCTACCATGCCAGGAAGGTTGTTTGGATAGCGGTTAGACTAAAAGCAGTTACCCAATTCAACCCTATGACTTCAAACAAACACCGCCGACTCAACAACAAACCACCAAATCATCACAAAACACTTCCATGAAATGTGGGGCGTCTACACGAATTCATGTCAGGCTGACATGAACTACAGCGACAACCCTATCACATTTACGGTGCACGACTCATCCCAGAGACCACAGACACCACAATCCACTAATATCGCCATCAACACCTATCGAAATCATATCAGTTCACTGATAAGGTATAATTAATCTATGCAAATTTATGTGCACATCATTTTACGGCCCTCAGATTATAAGTGATTACACTTGATTAGCATGATGACATATAGGTGAAAAATTTTAAACACATTTACTAAATCAATCAATGATATGGAAACAAAACCCGTGCAGTACTGTACTGGGCCAGACTGGATTATTGGGTTTACAAAAGACACTTACCTTTCGATTCTCTGTATAGCTGGCCAGACAAATACCCGCCCACCAGGAACCAAAAGGGGACGTTTGTAAAAGCAGCCTGAGATAATATACTCAAAATAAATAAATGAAAACTAACCAGACACAACCATAGCCTCGTTCGGCCCACATGTATTGAAACCCCATCCCATTATTCAAGCAAAAGCATTAAGAAAACAAATGAAGTTGGATGTCTGTCCGCAACTTGAATGTCAGGAGAGGTGAGGCCTTTAGGCCTACTGAAGGTACTCTAGGAGTCGTTTACTCGACCAAAAAAACCTGTAATGAAAGAATGAAAAACCATTAGCCAGCGATTAAACTGGAAATGAGCCTATCAACGTACAGATATATATCACATACATACGTATATATATATATACCCAGCCTTATAACAATTCTAAACTAATTCTAACCTACGCGTCAATAACGCCTTTTTATGGTAAATGAATATTTTATCTACCCACCATCTTCTGAAATAACACTGGTCGTGCTTAAAAAGAGAGCTGGGTGCCGCATTAGGTCTTTTCCTTCTGACATAACGCCAGTGCGTGCTTAATATGTCCTGTGAGGGCTGAAACAACGCTGATAAGCAAACCCAGTAGGTTCTAATCTACTCCTGAAAATGCCTAGAAAAAGAACACGGTGCTGAATATTAGTGCCAGTCATGCTGAAAACCTGCACTGAGTTTTAGTCTATGGCATTAGAGAATCCATTTCAGAACAGATTCAGAATTTACTCACACTACAGAATGTTAGAATTATTTCAGAATTAGTGAGATTTAATTCAGCATAATAGTAAGCTTGGGTATATTATAATTACAAAACGTTTATTGATGCGACGAAAGCAAACGAGATAAAAACGTCTCAGAAGGAAGGATGATTGAGTACCATTAAAAAGCAATGATTTACAGTCATATGGAAATTCGCATTACAGAGAATAAGCTAAATAAACCTACCACCAAAAGACAAGCTTCAAATCCTTCCAAAAATAAGGTTACTTACTATGACCTTACTTGATGCATTTAAACACATTCTGATTTCAGGCTTTCGGTTGAAGATGGAAGGCTCGAAACCCACGTAAATCCATTCCCAATTGGTACCTTTTGTTTTTTAATCCTTTCTTGAGCGAGTCGACCGAAAACGAAAGCACTATTGTTCCTCTAAGTCAATCAAAAGAATTAATCTCTAATTGGGAGAATCTTACTCCACAAATATATAGTTCTTCCTTATCTTTTTAGCTCTGCGCCTGTTTCCTTTGAGATCTACCGACGTGGTGAAAATCCAAAGAAGACATTTGTCAAGTCTTGGGATTTTGAATATCGTTATGGGATCTCGCCGCCGCCTATGATATGACAAGAAGGGACTGGGTAAGTCAAGCCATCCCACTTGATACAAACTTATTACATCACGAATCATACTGTAATCACATAACTTAGAGGTTCTTGGTGTCAGAAATTTTCACTTGACAAATAATCGCCATTATGATGAAATTTGGAAAGCCTACATTGAAATTTCCCCTCGCGTAATTTCTTTGTATTCTGCCCTGTTGTCATAGATAATTGTTAAAAAAGATATGCCATTTCTCCTTTCCCCAGACCGATCCATCACTGTCCTGTCCACAATTGTTTTACGGGGTGACACATGGCATACTGCTACTCAGTAGCATCTACCACATTTGCTTCCTCTCTCAGTAAAATGTTCCGAGTGGAGCTACCTCAGTCTTCCTAATGCTGCCAACTTTTATTTCATACTGACCTCTTTAGCCCACTGTGACCACCTCTGAAGTTGTTTGGCGTTAGCTCGTTCCTGTATGTCTCCTCTTGTGATAGTAGAAACAGGACCCCGTCTCACGGTGACAGAGAATGTCCCTTTCCACTTTGAGAGACGTTTTCGTGAAAGTAACCCACTTCCTGCAGTGTGCTTCCTTCACCTACGCTTTGCTTATTCTTGAATCTCTGCCCGGACGTCTTGGCTTGTATCTCATGTTTTTGCCCTATATTTCTGACTGTCTCCTTCCGTTCCGTTTCCCATCTCTTCATTTTCCACCGTGAATTATGCGGTCAGGCCTTACTGTGTTTTTTAGTCACGTTTCCCTATCACACATATACCGAAACGATGAGTCTTTTGTTTCGAGGAAAGAGGCACGATGTGCCGGTAGAATCAATGGTAACTCTGTCTCCAAATTACTTCCCTTCCAGGCCAAACACCATTCCAGTGTGTGGTAACTACTCTCTTTCACATCCCCGGCTTGTAGATAATGTGGTGTTTTTCTGATCTCGATAAAAGCTATATTTTGCCAACAGGACTCAAATTCTTCTCTTTTACGGCATCTACCTACCATGTAGCGTACTCTGTCACCACTGTAATATACTTTACTTATAGCAATAATTACCGATCTAAGTAGTGGCATAAAAAATCATGACGTGAACGTATTTTACATAAATTCCCATGCATTATTCATTATGACTAAGCATACAATTTTTATCATATGTGCACCGAAGTTCCACAATGTCGACCGGCCAACTGTCACATATTCCTCCGCTGATTTATGGGCTTCAACATGTGAGACTTGAATTTTGAGGTAGTGACCATAAAATAGTAGTATGTTCTTTTACCATCTTTCCTGAAACAATAGGCAGATGTGAAGCTGATTGTACACAAATGCTAACTGGGAATTGTACCAGCATCTAACTAGATGCTCGTACTTTTTGAGTGACTCCTTAGAGGTAATTCTTATCAAAATATTAACTCAATTCATGAGATCATCGCACCTGGGGAGACTCTTAGCTTCAGATTCCCCAAAAGCGACTATATTCCGACATCGTTGAAGGGAGGTCCACGAAAGCACTCAATAAAGTACTACAGATATTATAACTTATCACCGTTAATTGCTGTTACGTCCCTTCTCACTAGAATTCAAGAGTTGAGAGATATAAACCCCAGAAACAAAGAAATGAGAGCCATTCGGCCAACATATGACCAAGGGGAAATAGTGAAACTTTTGAAAATTAGGTTTACAAACTCCAAAACAGCCTGTCGAAAAACAATATACTTAGACGGCATTGCTTACGAGAATACTGAGGTGATATGTGAACTGTTTAGCAAGAACTTTGCCAGACTATACACCTTGGAGAACAAACAGTTCGTGGATTTCCCACGAATAACAGACGAATGTCTTAGTGACATACTTTTCACCACACAAGAGATTGATAAAGCTGTCAAAAATCTTAAGCTTAATAACACTACTGGTCCGGATGGTATATATTTTATTCAGTTGAAAAGCGGTAGTAATAATAAGAATTTACTCCTACTCATGTTATACTCAATTTCACTAAGCGATGGGACATACCCTACCTGCTGGAAGAAGTCTTATATTGTACCTATCCATAAATGCGGGCCTATAGCTGATATCAACAACCACCGCCCCACCAACATCACGTCCGTAGTTTCACGTATTATGGAGAAGATAGTAAACACTCAAATCATTCAGTACTCGCTGTCAAATGATCTACTATCCCCATCCCAATACGGTTTCTTTAATAGAAAGTCGTGCAATACTTGCCAATCAGATTATTCTGACTACATTACACAATGCATTGATAATGGGCGTTCGGTAACAACATTATTTCTCGACGTTAGCAAAATCTTTGATAAAGTCCCACACATCAGACTCCTAACAAAACTCCAATCCTACGGAATAACTGGAAAGCTTCTCAAATGGATAAATTCTTTTCTCACAGAAAGAGAGCAATTAGTCAAAATCAACCATCAGCCATCTTCATCAAAGCCGGTAACTAGTGGTGTAATACAGGGTACCGTTCTTGAACCTACTCTATTTCTCTTATTCATAAATAACAGTCTCTGTGATCAAGTATGGCAAGCCATACCTCTTCGCAGATGATCTCAAGATAGTATATGATTATGGGTGCGATGATATGAGCGTCGAAAGCAAATTCCAACATGACGTAAACAATCTAGGCGATTGGAGAGAAAAGTGGCAACTGACTTTCAACCCAAACAAGTACGGTATAGCCCACCTTGGACGCTGGAAGTCGAGAATGTGTCTATATATGTGCGGTGAGCTCCTCTCAGAACCTTAACACAGTCACAGATCTCGGGATAACATCCTCAGATTTAACCTTTTTCGATCATACAAATAAGGTAATATCTGACTGTAAACGACTCACTGGCTTTGCACTGTTTGGCTATTACACACAAGAAGTAAGATCGGCTATATATGAGACATATACTCGTGCCATATTTTGACATTTTCTCCTATTTAGTAACCTATGGTCTGCAGACCAAACATAGATTGAAAGTGTTCAGAGATTCCTCACCAAACGCAAAATAGTGTTTCACTAACAAGTGGAATATGTCAACAGGTGTATACGTCTGAAATTAGAACCTCTGTGGTTAAGGACAGTGAAACGCAACTTATTTCTGCTCTTCAAAGTCACTAGGAGACATTACTGCAGTCATTCATCCATAACGTGGGCAAATATCAAGTCATATCAGCTGCGAAACCATGACTACATTCTCAAGGTGGCTAACCACAGAAAAACCACTGGGGTAAACTTTTTCCCCATTAAATATTGCACTCTTTGGAACCAACTACCATCTGAGATTAGATGTGGAAACCCCGATGGGTTCAAACGGAGTCTAGAAAGACACATTAACATGTACATCCTAGCTCGTCTAAAGGACCGAAACTGCTGGTAGAATGGTAAATGAAAACTAGTCCAGTCTTCAATATAGTCACTTACGCATAACTCGACTCTACTACTTACGCAGCGAACTTTTAACTTATTTATTTATTTTCTATTCTCTATAATCTTCAATGAGTTGTGGTAGTATAACTAATTTTAGAAACAATTATATTGGCAACCACATCTTTTAATATCGTACATATATATGTACATATTATGGAAATGCGTCAAGCAAGTACATTGGTCTCCTTCAAAAAGGTACTTAATGACAAACTACAAGAGTTTGCAAACGATAGTAGTTCTAGTTCCTATCTGAGAGCCTCCGAAATTATAGGTCCATTTAATGTATAAGCTTAAATACTACACCTGTTGTTTATTGCCTATATTTATAATTCTAGATAAAACATTAACGGTTAAGATACATATGCTCAAACAGACAAGAAATCTCGTTTGTAAAACTACTACCCAACACAATAAGCGGAATAAAATGGACATAAACCGACAACATGTAAAAGGTATAACTCACCACAACATCACATGCACAGATGTACCCTCGTGGGGCACCATATATCCCTCACCGACTGCAACCCATCTTAGATAATGTGAACTTATCTCCATAATGTTGCTGAGCAGTTAATATTCTCAACTCCTGTCGGAACAGTTGAAATTCATAAAGCATCCTCACGCTAAGAAAATACCCACGAGCAGTAGAAATCCATTAATTAATGCGTCTGAAGCTTATGTATTTACTCCCAACAATGACATTGCAGATCAAATGAGATAAACATATCACTGATTTCAAAATAACACATCAATGAACTATAATTCAAGGATTCTGCACACAACGAAGTTATGTATGCAAATTGACCTCAAGCTTTATTTTTTTCCCAGCCACTTATAATCCATCCACCAAAGACCTGGTTTTTTTGTTAATGCGAAGACAATACTTCTGTATTTCCTGATGTGTTGCACTCACTGACGATCTAGCAGATTTTTCCAACTGTGCACAAAAATGATTGTATATGAGTGAAAAGGCTGTTTTATACTACTGGGATTAACATTTATTAAGTGTATGTATAATCTCCAGCGAACATGTAAAGCATATCTTGCTACTGCCTGTAAATTGTGATTGAATTATTTGGTTCTATTTCTGTAACAATTTGATGATGCCTGTAAACTGGCGTCCCTCATGTGCTGTATTATGAGAATAAATTTACTTATTTGTTTGTTTATTTATATGTACATCATTAATGATACACTGCTATCTTTTGTATCGAAATGACTTTACTCAG